CAAAGCGTCAACGTTGACATTTTTGATATGCTCTCTACGGAAATTAAATTTTTGAATGTTGTTAGTTTTTGCAATGGTATAACATTCCTGAAGGGATTCAATGCTAGTTCTATTAAAATAATTTAAATTTCGGTACTTGTGTCTCAAGGAAATTTAAATTTCGTATAAATGTGCTTCAACGAAATATAAATTTCTGGTACATGTGGTTCAAGGAAATGTAAACTTCTGGTACTATGTCTCGCAAAGAAATGTTAATTTCTGGTATATGTGTTTCAATGAAATAAAAATTTCTGATACAAGTATCTCAAAGAATTGTAAATTTCAGTAATATACATCTCAGAAAAATGTGAATTTCTGGGACGGATATCTCAGAAAATTGTAGACAGATTTTATGCATCTTTTTTTATTTGATATAATTGGAGCCAATCTGGCAATACATGGACTTTTTTATTAACAATTTTAGTAAATTCTAGTAAATAAGTATATTTAATAATGCAGATTTTTGCATTTGATATTAAGTTATAATCTGCATAATTTCATTAATAAAAACTCATTACGTTTAAAGTGCGATAAAGCAATTAAGATTCCGAAAAAATATTATGTAATATTACGTCATCTATGCATTTTTAGTTTTAAGCACTATTCTTATTATTCTAGCTCTATGAAAGTTTAAGACGCGAAAATATTTGTTTGCTAAATTTTGATAATTTTTTTAGGTTTATTTTTCAATCAAATAAATGTATAATACATTATTTTAACAGATTTTTTTCTTACATTTTCAGATCAGATATAGTTAAAAATATACAAAAATAAAGAATTTTTTTTAACTAAAACTCAAACTCACAGCAGACAGAGCATTTAAAGTGCACTAATTTTTGAGCTACGAATTGTATCATCAAAATTAAATGAATACTAAATATTTGCATTTGCAGTTTAAAGTGCACAATAATAACAAACACATAAGTTTAAAGTGCACAGAAAAAGCATAAATAACATTTTTCTCATTAAATTTAACAAAACAAATTTTTTTAGCATATTTCGCTATCGTAACGCCAGGTTTAACTGCGGCTCAAAGCAAAAACGAAATAGATTCCAGCTGCAGCTGTCACCGAAACTTGGCGTCTAGTAACTTATGTTGACTAATTTATAAACAGGCTAATCAAGGTATAGTGGTCAGATGTTACCATAATTTAGCAACGTGAACCAGTCCAAACTTTTTCAAGCAATTAAAACGAAATCACATCACTGTCTTAAACACCGGACTTTTCAATTTTTATTTCTTCACCCAAATTTACTGTTTACACTACCATTTCTAAAATGCAATAATAAGAATCTTTCTAAAATACGTATAGTATTTCACAAAAGGAACAGGAAAGTTTTGAATTTAGATAACTCGTATTTTGAAACTTTATCAGCTAACGTAATCCACAAAATTATTAGAGTTGAATAATTGAAAGATCCTATTTTTATTTCTAATCCAAGTAATTTTGGCAACAAACAATAAAATGTCACCGATTTAAAAGCTTTTACGGGTTCTTTTTAGGATTTACTAAAAGACTTTTCCTCCAAATTCTCTTTTCAAAAGAAAATTGATAGAACATAGGAATTAGCGCTTTTGTTGAAACCTCGATGAAAAGAGGAGAAGTAACTTTAAAAGTCTTTCACTTTTAGATATCTTTTTATCTGAGATAAGATCACCAAGATGGTTTTTTTTCTTTTGTTTGGCTTTGTATCTGATCAAGCCAACACTTTCTCCTCTTTCACTTCGATCTCGAATTTCAATTTCAAACCGCCAACAACGGCTTTAAAATAACAAGTCTTACGTTAAAATGAATTTTAAAAGATCTTCAATTGCTTCTCTAGGAAGTTGAAAGGAAGTCTAGAAAAAATATCAGTAAAATGAGTTCCGTCAAGTTTGAAAGTAGTGTATAATTAAATCTTATTATTTAAAGCTTTCTGTAACGCCGGGAATGATTTAAATTCTTATCTCATTAAATCTTCACATTGCGGAGCCAAAGGTAATGTAGTCAGCAAAGCGATGACACATCATTTTAATTTCAAAATCTAAAAACTACAAATGGATTTTATCTTTATAAAAATCATATATTGTTCCATTATCTCTTCGTACATTGTGTTTAAATAAAAGTTCTTGAATTCATTAGACTCTTAAAATAATCCTTTGGTTTCTTAGAAAGTCCATTTAATGTATCATTAAGTCCTTTTTATATTAAAAGCAAAATTGAATGTAGTGAGTAAAATCTGACACATAATTAAAAAAAATAATAATAATAATTGTCTCTGACACATCTATATGTAAAAAGTCTAAGGTAATTCCAGAAAGGAGACTGAATTTATTTCGTCTTGTTAGCAGCAAAAGTCGTAATTGTTTGTCAATATATAATAAGAGGAGCCTCGATTCATTGTTATTGTTTACGCTGAGAAAAAAAGCGAGCCAATATTTTCAATTATTTTAAATAAATATATTTATTTATTTCTCTTTTGCAACATAAATAGTTTTGTAGAAAGCATTTAATGTTTCCCCAATAATTGTATGCTTATTATAAATTTATTAATTTTCAAACATTTTCGGGTCATTATTTATTATTTTAAGCTGACCAGCATTCGTCGTTTTCCCGTATCTATCGTTCGTAATGTGTGGTCCCTTAAAAAACAATCGACTGAGATTCTACAGCAATAAGAATCTGTTGCTGGTGATTGGCACACGTTAAATTCAAGCATTTATTTACTTATTTATTTTTGTAAACTTTACTCGTTTCAAAAATTTCTTCGTAAGCGTTACTCGTTTGTGGTTACTACATTTTTATGAATAACTAAAAAATTTTGGTTTATTATGTCTTATTCTATTGTTTTATTATGCCATTAAGACGTAATATTCAATTATAATTACGCCAAAATCCACATCATCACGATTTGGTGGATTTACGCGATCAAATCCTCAGCTAGTGGCTTAAACTGGATTCGACGTACCAGCAAAACTTTGTGGACTCACTTCCTAACCGAATACAAACGGTTTTTAAATCCAGAGGGGGTGCTACACGTTATTAAGGGATGTTTTTCATGATTTCTCTAAGGGTGACCAATTTTTTGTCCGGTGAGCTTATTAAAAGTGAATTTTTATATTTGTCTCTAATGGTTAATAAATTCGTAAAAAATAACCAGTAAATACAAAATTTTTGTTTCTTAAGATGTTGTATTTGAATTCTGAAATCTTTTTTGTTATTTAACGCATCCATTGTACTTAAAGTGAATTTTTATATTTGTCTCTAATGGTTAATAAATTCTCATAAAATAACCAGTAAAAACAAGTTTTATCCAATCTTAATTCCTTATCATACCTCCAAAATATTCTTGCCTAACCGATAAAAGCCTGAATGGATAAAAAAAAATATCAAAGTAAATTTTGAAGGATAAAGAAAACTAAAAATAAGGACCTGTCCCCTGATGAAAAATCCTGAGCCAGCAAATTCTGGAATTGTCTCAACCGTTTATGTCTTCCCCGAAAAACTAATGATTCTTTAATGCGTATTTTCGCTACGTTTGCGAATTTTTCCAGCTTTCCGTCTTAAGCTCACAATATTTTACGTTTTCGTGATCCTTATATTCTTTTTTTTTCCTGAAGCAATGGTACGGACTTTTTCTTTCCCTGCTTTTATAAAGTCTGGAAATGAAAAACTTACACGCAAACGATATTGTTTCACAAGGGGCAAAAAGCAACAAAAGCAAAAATTTTCAATTATTTTTATTTTTCTATATTAAAAGAATAAAGTTATTTCTAATCGCTTTCTTTTAGTTAGTATTGAGAGAGAAATAAAATTACGAGGAAAAAAAAATAATCATGGGTAGTAAAAGAAATTTTCCATTATGTTGCTGTGAAGATGAGAAAGAATGTATCTATGTTTTCATTTAATGTTATTAAAAATGAAATTAAACTGAATTTCATTAAAGAAGAAAATTTAGATTTTTTTTTTAAAAAAACCTTTAAAATTTAAGCAAACTTGATTTTAGTAAATTTCGATCTCATTAATTACAATCTCTGATTAAGCAAGATCCTGCATTTAACAAGAACATCTTTAATAGATAGTTGGTTTATGTTAAATAAAAAATCTCCATAAAATTATTACGAACCTTTTATTATTACGAGCATAGTTTAGATTTAGAAGGTAACAAATTATTATATTAAAACTGTAAAATAAATAAATAAATAAACATATGACTGTTTATAGAATATTTAGTTTATTTTATAAAGATAATAAAGATTTAGTTTTTTTTTCTTTTCAAGACATATTGTAGATTATTTTTAAAAAGAGGTAAAGTAAAATGTGAGATCATTCATATGTACTGCCATAAACTATTCGCAGTGCAGCTAGTTTGGTTAGGTTGTTAATATTGTCTAGAGTTATTCGTATGGGTCATTAGCTTTGATCTGGAGTTCATGATCAATGACGACAATACTTTATTTTCATTAGTTTGGCAATCCCTGGTAAAACAAGCACCCTACTTTAAAGAGCTAATTGTATTGATTCCTACTTTGCCATTTTAACGAGTTTGGCCTAGCTTAAGCTAAAAAAAAATGCCAGGAAATAGCTTTTTTCATGGTATATATTTTATAAAATACTAAAAAAAATTACATTTGATAAAAAAATAAATGTATCTAGCCAATATCCACCTTAAACGCCAATACTGAATTAACTTAAAAGTAATTTTGTGTTGAGGCATTAGTTTTGCTCAACATTCATCGATGTATTCCATTAATCTAGAAAATTCTGGAGTGATAGAATACACAGGGAAATAACTTCAGATTTAAAAAAAAATGACTCAATGGACTGCCACACGTGACTAACTCTACCCTTAACCTAAGATGGGACATAAAAATCCCAGTAAAAGTTATTTGCAGACTTAATTGAAATGCTTATAATATGAATGGAATGCATAACTGTGAGCGATTTGAACATAATGAAAATTTTGGCATCTATACTTACCCTGGAGACATATCTTTTCAAAATAATTAAAATTTCCATTTTGCTGCAGAACATCAAATGATGGTCCCGTGCTTTCAGAATTATACTGGCAAGCTCCTTTTCTGTAGTCAATATTGACTGATCTGCACCTTCTGTCTTTTTTACAACGCTGAAGACACTCCTGAGGAGTAACATCAGAATTGACGTAGTATGGATTTGTATTCAAAACTGCACCAGATATTAGCTCGAAACTAAGATCGCTAGAATCACAACCTGCAAGAACAATCTACGGTTAAAAAGGCCAGCAATTTTAAAAAGAAGTCCACTTGAAAAACAGTTCAACATAGAAAAATACGGTTTGATGCCTTTTGTATAAGCACCTAGGTTATTTATTTTCATCATGATTTTTTAAAATAGATATAAAGGTTATACATGGATGGCGAGGCTGCCCTCAAACCAGCATGTAGTGTTGCGCGTCGGAACATTCTTTTTAAAAAAATATATATATTATAGTATTTCACAGCAAGCAGCGTCATCTGTTGTCAAACTTTGTAACAAATTTCAAAACTTGGCTTGAACGAATGTCTCTTTTCCTAGGTAGAAAGCAGCAAAACGTACATTTCCTTTTTTTCTGTTTTTCTAGACTAAATTGTTCAAATCGTTAAGGATTTCTGAAAATGTATTCATAATGCAAAATATTTTAGGTAATATGACAAATAAATATGGAATTTTAAAGCTTTACTGAGTTTTCAGGAATTATACATTGCATTCCGAAAATACGTTTAATTATTTTAAATGTTTGTGTAAATAATACTTCCTTTTTGCTTTTAGAACATTCTGATATGTTTAAAATTTGAAAATGTTTCTGATGTTGAAGGAATTTCTGAGAATAAATTTGATAAATTCCCATAAATTTCATTTTTTTTTAATTTTATTTTATAACAATAAAAACCTTTAACAATATAATGTAGTAGATTAAGTGTTAGATATTTATCAAGATACATAGAGATATACAATATTGTTAAATTTGCTCATTGCACGTTGATTTCTGTCGTTAGTCAAATAATGTTTACCAATAAGTCAAAAAAATAGTTGCTTAATCGGAACAATATCACGGTTTACTGTGATGAGCTTTCAGAATAAAAAATAATCAATTATATACCGTTTAAATACGTATTATTAATAAAAATCCAAATTTAGTTTTCAATTTAATATACCGATAAAAACATTATAAAATTCTTGAAATAAAAATTTTGAAAGTGCTTTTGTTATATAAAATATATTCAACAGTTCTTATAAAGATGATTTTAAACTTTTGATTTTTTCGTAAGTGCACTCTACAACACATACTCTTCCTGAAAAAAAAACAATTATTTAAGTAGTTGAAGACATGAAATTTTGACAATTTTAATTCTATTTTAAATTTAATGTAAAGAAAAAAACATCGTTAAAATATAATAATTTTCAGTGAGCTATTGTAGTTTTTGATATAAAATGTACTCAATATAACTCGTATTTAAGTGAGTAATTTTTCAAACCTGTTCTCCAAAACACATGTGATCGGATAATACGAAATAGTTAAGTAAATAAACATTTAATAAATAACCAAAAATAGTTTAAAAAATTAACCTTTTTCACGTTGGACTTGATTTAAAATATATAATTTAGTTATTTATTTTTTCAATAAAAATATTTTTAAACATATCTTGAAAAGATAGTATTTAAAGCTCAAACTTCAGAAGCTTTCACTTTCAAATTTTTCTGATTTAGTTTTTCAGCAACTTTGTTAACTGTTTAAAAATTAAGCAATTTGTAGATAATTGCACTATATTTTATAAAAGTCTGTAAACATTTTCCTTAATACAAACAGACAATACAAACTATATAATACAAAACAGATCAGACAGAATGAAAAACAGGCAAAAGACTGGCAAACAGAAGACAGACAAATAAAAGACAGGCAAAATATCAGACAGAACAAAAAAAGACATTTTTGCTTTCGTATCCGTGTTTTGGTATTTAAGAAATTTCATATTTATAGGATCTTAATAGATGTTTATAGGTTATGCACGCATTTAATACTTCTGTTATTATTTAACATAATCAGACGTTATTTTTGTTCGTAAAACATCCAACAATTAATAGCAGAAAATGTATATTTCATGATTTCTGAAACCTCACATATCCTTCTCTTTACTTATTTGTATTCCTGACGAACTCACGGAAGATATCTTCTTTTTAACCTTCACAAGGCTACGCACTCTAATCAAACTGCTAGAAAGTTCAATGATAAAACGGGGCATTGATCACGATTCATACATAAAAATCATTCAAGGCTACCTGCACCACGAGTAAAACAGTCATCCAAAAGTAAAACAAAAACGAATACTGCTTGCCATAGATGAGAAAAATAATGAAAGAAAGAGTCCAGATTTAGTCGTAAATACCTTCCAAGCTCCGGGTAATCTCGTAGTAATTGAGGCTTCAGGAAGCGTGTAGACTTCCAGGGTTCTGAACAAGACCTTTTTTGTTCTGATGCGTTAATCCGCAATACATTTTGTTTCTAACTTTACCAAACAGAAAAGATCGGCACGGAAAAAGCGCGTTTTCAAGACGCAGTATAAGAAAATACAGCTGTAAAACAGTAAGAAAATGCTTTACATAATCAGTCATTTTTATTTATTCGCATATCATCCGATAATTATTCACACAAAATGTATACGTTGTAATTTCGGAAACCTCAAGTATTCTTCTCGTTATTTATGTATGATTCTGACAAATTCACGGTGGATATCTTCTTTTTTGACCTACACAAGGCTCGACCTAATCAAACTTAAAAAAAAGTGAATTGATAAAACGGGGCATTGATCAGAATTCATACGTTAAAATCAGTCTAGGCTACTACATGCGCAATGGGTTGGTTGGTTCTAATGCCACTTGCTACAAGGGCAAGCCTGCTTGGTGAAATCGAGCAAATTTAAGGCAGAGTGTGCGATTCTTGTTTTTCAGTGGTGCCATCTATGGCCAAGAATTCGATTTCGCCACATCATACGTCACACCTGTTTATAAGGCGGACCCATGCATACATCCATTCATTCATCCACAGTTCGTAATTTTGACCTGAATCAGAGAACAATCGATCCAGTACCCCTAGAGGTATTGATTTGTTATGGGAACATGGAGGACTTTTGCGACTCGGCAGATTTAACGTGCATCAGTCACTTTACTACACGGGGAGTCGGAGGGGTTCGAACCCACGAACTCTTGGGCACGAGCCCAGAGCCCTACCGACCAGGCTATCCCGGTCTTGAACAATGGGTAAAATAGTTTACTATTTTTGAACAATAGGTAAAATAGTGAACTAAAAGTAAAACAAAAATGAATACAACTAGTCATAGATGAGAAAATAATTAAAGAAAGAGTAAACATTTAGTCGTAAATACCTTCTAAGCCCCGGGTAATCTCGTAGTAATCGAGGCTTCTAGAAGTGTGTAGACTTCCAGGGTTCTGAACAAGACCATCTCTGTTCTGATGCGTTAGTCCACAATACAGTTTGTTTCTAACTCTACCAGAGAGAAAAGATCGGCATGGAAAAAGTGTATTTTTAAGACACAGTTCACCACATTCCTCTGCTGTCACATCTTGGTATTCTATTAAACTGTAAGGGTGTTCCACGTTGCCCAATGGCATGATGTCTGCGCCATACACTTTTCTGCCTGTAAAATTAAATAAAGTTGTATCTTCGATGCAAAGAAACATAAAAAAATAATGAAATTGCAATTTTTGTTATTAATGAAACTGATTTGATGTTTTAGAGAAACATTTATTAAGACATTAGTATAAAGGTAAGCAACACTGTAGGTATTGTTTCTTTTAACTTCTTTACCCTTCTTAGATCCCAGCTTTTAATATTAGACACACAGCTTAGAAGAAAATAAACTAAGAAATGCAATAAAGGTTTTTTCTAAAAAAAAGCAATTTACTTATCGAAACTTCTTTAATTTTGTTTCATTATTTTAATCACTTGCATAAAATATTTTTATATTCTAACTTTCAGCCTTTTTGAATATTATTGGATATTTTTATAGTGATTGTTTATGTGAATTAAGCAAAAAGTAAAATTAACATAGAGGGATCCAAACTTTGGACCGCTCTCTTGACTAAACTGTTGGGACCATATTTCCCAGATTGCAACTACCCCCTTGAAAGTCAGAAATCCGAATCCGTCGAAAAAAGGTATGTTTATTCAGAGAAACTAAGTTTTTGTGTATGATTTCGTATCCTCTGCACTAATTAATTAGCATATATGAGATTAATCCCTGAAACCATTAAGATAGAGTCCTATAATATTAAGATCCTGTCATTAGATCTAAAGCTATTTAGTCTGGTTCGTTTATTTTTTTTGCGCACTGTACACAAGTTTAAATGCTTTTGTTTTTTTAACGAAACAGGGGTAACTTATACTTTAAAAGGTAAAGGTAATTTATATCCAAGGGTAATTTATATCCATATCACGTAAGAGTTATCTGATACCTTACGAAATACTCTGGCCTCTCCCGTCATTTTAAGTATAAGGTTCTATAAATAGTGGTTTTTCAGTGTTGAAATATATTTTTATTACAACTTATGCTTTTCATACAATCCATGAAGAAACTTAATTTATCTAATAAAGAATAGTTATGGATGTAATGTGTTAGCAACATCCAATATCCCGCAACTCTAAAATTACACGTTTGTTTGTTAATACAATACTTGCGAATGCCTATATTATTACTCTCACATTAATGTTTCTGGCAATTTAGTTTGATGTTGATTGATTGCCATATAGCTGACTACTACTGGGATGGGATAGTTAATACCAGCGTGAAACAATTTGTAATCTCTTATGATGCTTAAATACCAAAACAAAAGTGTGTTTTAGTAATTTATATTTAATGTGTTGATTGAACGTGTTGGCATGCCCTTACGTTATTTTTCGAAATAGTTCATGTATGATATGTTATATCTATAGTATATAATTACTTTCGATGATTCAAATATGGCAAATGTTGTGTAGAACTGTTCTCAAATAATAAAGTTGAATCATAGATATTTTATGAAAATCAAAGGCCGAATACAGACAACAATTCTTTTGAAAAAAAGAAGAGTTAAAGTTATATTAAAGAAAATTGGTATCCTTATGCATATATATTTAAAATGAGATGAACATTGTTTTTTTTTTCTCAAAATCGATTCGATTTTCAGAATCGATTTCATTCTAAGGAATGAAACACTTAAAAAGAATAAAATAATTATGGACTTATATAGGCGAATTATATTTCTCTTTTTCTTTTAATAGACTTCAAATAAAACAAATAATGTTCAACATTCAGTAAATTTATTTTTTCTAAAGCTTTTAAATATAATAGGAGCTATCTTGTTATTAAAATACCTTTTTGGATATAATAACAATAATATTCAATACTGTATTAATTTTAGTAATTTGGGTTTCATCATTTTCGAAACTCTATTATTGTTTTAAAATGCACGAAGAATATCAAAACTATTATTCAGGTGATTATAATATTTTTAAAATAGTCTCTACTTTTTTTTATCATATTTAAACAAGAATAATAAGTATAGACTATTATATCAATTTTATAAATTATATTTTCAATTTTGTATTGCAATTTAAGCGAACTATAATAGTTATCTAAAAATTATCCCTTTGTTTGTAATCCACAAAATCTTTTTTTTTTCAAAACGTTCTGTATAAGTTTGGATTGTGTATGTTTAAATTAGCGTGTAAATGGAAAAGGAACAATGGAAAAATAAAAACAGATATTATTAAAGTAATTATTTACATTTCTGTGAATTTGCACAAATAACATTTTCATTCAATGTATTATAACCATATGTATTTTAAGCAGGGTCGTGCCAAGGAATGTAAATGCTTGAGGCAATAAATCTCTCAAATGCCCTTAAAACGAGTCGTGTAGTAATACAATCTCTGGTGGGGAGGGGGTTAAAAATCTTATTAAACTGGAAGGAAAAAATGCCTGGGATGATTTTGATCCATAAAAGTTTATTTTTATGCATATATGTTTGAAAACTATCTTGTAAAAAATTATTATTTAAAACAAAATATTCTTTTCTTTTAAAATTGAAAATAATAAGTTTAAACGATATAAAATTTACTTATTATTTTTATTTATTTATTTATTTTGAAAATAACAATTTTTTTTACAGAAAGTATTTCGTTTAGGAGGACATGGGATCGTTAAAATTTAAGATGTTTTTTTTAAAACTAAAATAAAAATTATAAATTTTTTGGATAAAATTTAATATATACGAAAATCTAAAATTGATGTATCCGAAAAAAAATTTTTATGTTATAAAATACAAAATGCAATGATACAAAAATGTTAAAATACAAAATCAATATTTTCTGTGTCAATAGTCAGCAAAAAGTCACTTGATTTTTATCTACGAAGGCATGCTGAAAATAAATAACGACACGATAATTCATTTCGTTTTAAATTAAAATAAAGTTTTCAGAAAAAAATAAAACAAAAAAAATACTTTTTTATGAATTTTTTAAGACATTATCCGAAAATCAACATGCGTTTTGTAATGGTTATTTCAATTAAAAAATACTTGAAAATTTGTGATTCTTTATATGAAATTTTGGATAACTCTATAAGAATATATTTAAACAAAGGGAATCAATTAGTACAATAAAAGAAAAACATTAAAATTTCATTAAAATATATGCAACAGAAACCTTACATCTGTGCAAAATTTTTAAATAATTTCAACAGTACTGTTAAAAACTATTTTACTGATAAAAATGACAATTCGATATCGCAACAAAATGTTTTTATGACATTTTGGACAAATTAATCTTTCGAAAATTTGACGATTTTGAAATACTTCAGTCGCATTAAGGTAAGTATCGTTACGCAATATAAAATTTAATCTTCTAACCAAAATAATTTAATAGTCTTGCACCTGCTTATATGATACCTTTGATTACCTCCGTTACCTCTTCTCTGCATGTCACTGATTTAAGGAAAAAAGTATTCCTTTTAAAATTTTAAGGTATTTTTGAGGTTTATGTGAGGTGGTTTTGAGGTGTCAAGGTTGATTTGAGGTTTATTCGAAATTGATTTCAAAAACAACCTTAAAAGATTCACCTCCCAAGGTGTATAATCAAAGTGCATGATGTTGTTTTTTCACTCTTAAGGCTCTTTTGAGGTTGACGGAAATCTACTTTAGAGCAACCAGCTTCGGGAGGTTGTTTTTGAGGTGTACTGATTAGTTTTTCTGCACTTCAAGCAAATACGTATATTTGTGTTGTGAATAGTTCCCCCTGATCTAAATTCAAATTATTTCTGAGTTATATACGAGGTTGATTTTGTGAAGTGTAAATGAGGCTGTAATTGAGGTTTATTAATGAGGTTATTTTTGGTGCCAAAATAACCTAATTTTTTACCTGTGGTCTATTTTTTTATATCTGTCAACCTCAAAAACACCTTAGTTTTTTGTAAGGGTACGTCATACCATGCATTGATTTAGAGAAGTTGAGAGAAGAATATATGTATCAAATGAAAACTACCGTATAATTACTAACCTTCCTCATATGGGCATGTTACGTCCATGTACTCCACCGATGCTGAAGTAGATTTCCGGAAGTGAGATTTTTTGTTGAAACGGTCCTGACGACTAAGTCTACATTCAGATGATTTAGAGTCAAACTCTATGGAACGGCAACTGAATTCCTTGTTGCCAAGACACGCTTCCAAGCATGTCAACCGAGAACTGTTGGAAATAATCTTATCGTTGTGTTCTGAAAGCTCCATACCTCTCATGGATTCAGCAACAAAAAGACGATCACAGGCCCCTGCAGCAATAAAATAAAGAAAAAAAAAAGCAAACAATTATACTAATGCGTTTTGCCACATGCTTAAAAAAGTATCTAAATCTTGCTTTCAATACTAAGAGAAAATTGTTATAAAAATTTAAGAGATTCTTCATAATAGAGGAGGAATTCTTAATTGCGAGACAAATAATATCTCCTATAATTTCAGGAATTTGTGTTAATTTTTAACGTTTTTAATACATTACACGTAAATGCAGTTTAGTTATTAGAAATTGATAGGAATAGCCTGGTTGGTAGGGGCTAAACGCATGTTCGTGAGAGCGGGAGTTCAAGTTCAGCTGGCCGAATTCTCCTTGTGTAGTAAATGGTTACTAGTGTTCGGTAAATCTGTTAGGTCACAAAGTCCTTAATGTTTCCATGATTAAATTATAAATGGGTGTGATATATGGGAGTGGTAGAAATTGAATTCTTGGCCATAGATGGTTCCCCTGGAAAACATGAACAATCGCTATCCTTGTCTTAATTGGCCTACGACTGCAAAAACAACAACATAATTTAGAAATTAGCCCACATTTAATCAGAATCATTAAAAAAAAACTTCCTGATAAACCAAGTTTGCCACTCAAATCTGGGAGAAAAAAAATTCAATGTGTTTTCCCTGTACATGTTATACTGTGCTCTTGTGTGAGCTATATTGGGCTAACTATATTTATTAGTTTCAATTGCTGGAAAAATAGCTGAACATACGTAAATAATGCTATGGTAAATGAAATAGTTTAGTTAGCTGAAATACCTGGTTATGGAAATACCATAGATTACGCTTTGAGTGGTCACCATTTTTTAAAAGGCCAAAATTAAAAAAACAAAATTCCCTGTATTTTCCCAGTTTGTAAAGAAAAAATCAAAATTCCCTGCATTTCCCCTGTTATTTTAGGTGATTTTTAAATTCCATGTATTTTCCAGGTGTTCCCTGTTCTTCCTGTGGAGTGGCAACCCTGTAAACATTTACTGGGATAATCAAAAGTTTTGGCACTTAACAGTCTTCTTAATTGAAGTTAAACTGTTTCATAACTAAGATATTTTTAATGATAGCGAAAACAGTTGTGTTTTTAATTATGAGTTAATTATGTTTACGCGGAGAAAAACAATCTGGTTAAAATCCAGTACAGCATGGTGCCGACAGTTCTGGAAAATAAGAACCTTAATTCCGTTTAATAAAACCAAAATATAAGGTATTTAATCCATTTATTTGGTAATTTTTCTGTTCTTATGGCAACGGATTATTGGAAGTTCTGGTTGTAAAAATTATTCGTCTTATTATCCGCATTAAGTAAAAAATACAAAAATTAACAGTAAATGTAACCGAATAAATAATTTTAATTTCATGTTTTAAGTATCACGATAATACTACCAAATTCCATTATATTTTATAAAACAATATTTTATTGTTAATTTCACCGAGATAATTATACCCAAGATATTTCGGTAAAAAATACCGAGCTTTTTGGTTCTCCTAAAAAGCCAGAAACAGGGTAAATTTCACTATATTCTGGTAGTTTTGTTCATACTTTTTTTTTCCTCACTGCACTTTTATTACAATTAGCAATAGTAGTATTTGCCATCTCTAATATTTTTTTCTTAGGAACCTCTCAAAGTGACCAAAATTAATGTTTTGAAAATTCTATTTACAGCACTTTAGTAGCTTTAAATCCCGAAACGTTTGTCCATAAGTAAAAAAATGAATTAATTAAAACGTTTGGAGGCGGAGTTATCGACCATGCCAACAGTCATCTATCAAAAGGTACCTCGTGATTGAATCACCAGATCACGTGACCAGAATTTTATCAGAGATAGAATTCGATGAACGGTTTCCGCTTAGTTGTTGTCAAGTTAGCATGTCTTATAAACCAGTGGATTAACGTTTTAATATTCGTAGTGGTAGTTACGCCACAAACGTATAACTTTCTATAACTGATAGTTCTTAGTTTACTTCTTAAGTATTGTATCAGTTACAACTATGTGAATCTCTTTGAGTTTCGCATCAGTTATTCCATCGCTTAAAAATTCAAAAATAAAAATGAATAATAAATAAATGTACAGGAGTACCTTTTAAGCAAACTTTTTCCATATAATAGGTTCCCGACGTAGGAAAAAGAATCTGGTCCATGCGCCTTTTTGTGTCAGGTGACACATACGTCATCAAACGACATTCAGTCTCGTTGTCATTTTTCGTGAAAACAAAAGACTGGCAGTTGGCATCCAGAAGGCATGTTCGAGAACACTCAACAAGAGTCGAGTACTGGATTCTTCTGTAAAAGGCTGGCGCTGGTAGGACACTGGTAGATAAAATAAAAGAATCTACGCTTCCTCGACCACATTTTGCTGAAAAAAAAGGAATAAAAATTTAAACAGATATTTTAATCATTTGACTTTTCCAAATAGTAAAGAGAAATTTTATTTTCAACACTGTTTGACTTTGCAATCTAAAATTGAGGTAAAATAACAGTCAACAGTCTGCCATCTGATTAACTGTAAAGTTTACGGTAAAGAACATTATTTACTTTTGTGGTTTTGAAACTTTTTACTATTTGTGGGGTTAAAAGATATACAAAATTATACAGTTTTTTTAACCATTTATTACTACCATGGTTTTAAAATCGTGAAAAAGAAATTTATATCGACATTGGAGTCAGACATTTCGTTAGGTAAGGGGCATTGGAATTGGAGTTGTGGTTTATCAAATAAACCGTGGAATGTGGTTCAATTAGTTTATCTGGCTGTTTGACCTATGTAAGGGATGGGAAATGCTAGATTTTTTAGTGTTGGGTGGTTTTATGGTGTTGATTTGTATGCATGAATGAGAGCATCGTATTCTAATAAACAATGGTCACAAACTGGGGAGTGCAGAACACTGATAAAATATTGTGGTGTCAAAGCTAGGAAACGAACCTCCGGTCATCAGATTGACAGAGTAGCTCTGCCGGTTACAATATGTACCCCTCTGCAAGGAACTAAATGGCTTCAAGAGGTGGGTATAATTGGTGGAATAAAATTTTGGTTGTTTAACCGTATTAGGTGAAAACAGGTAGTAATTTTTCTTCTCGGTTAGTTTCTTTTCTTAATTAGATGATTTGAATACCATCATGTTTATGGACATTTGACAGTTTTGTATAAATATTATAAAATAACAATTAAATAAATTGTTATTCAACAGTTTTTAACGAGAAATGTCAAATAATGAATGACAATTATAAATAACTTTGAAAATGAAAGCAAAATTGACTTTTTTTATTGTTTACAGCAAGGTAATAAAATAAACAAGAAAATGTTTGCAGTAATATTAAGCTTTAGATAAAGAAATATTGGAAGCTAAATGCAAAAAACACTTTGTTTCTTACGAAATTTATGTACAGTGCGTAAGAAAAAAGGGGGGAAAAAAGGAATACCCTGAATAACTGTTGATCTAATAAACGGATCTTCACGTTCTAGAACTCATCCTTAATACTTCGAAAAGGTGACCTCAAATATGCCAATTATTAAGTGCAGAAAATATTTTATGTTACGAAATCAGACACAAAAGTATACTTTCTATGAATAAATATACATCAATTTCACCGAATTCGGATTCCTGATCCCTAAAATATAGAGGGTGGCCGTAATCTGGGAAATATGGTCCCCACAGTTTGGTCAGGAGAGCGATCCAAATTTTTAAACTCATAATGTTAATTTTAATTTTTTCGTATTTCATCATATCTCGAGAGCTTTTGAAACGAATTGAAACATTTACACACTATTATAAAATTCATTTGCCCAAAGATAATTCCATGCAAAAAATAAGATTTAGTAAGTATTGAATATTTTTTAATATTTTATTTAATAATAGTCGAAAAAATTTTGAATTGTAAGGTATACAATTTTTTACATCATTTTAAAGTACGAAATTTACTTGCCAAAATACAATTTTTGAGCCAAATTGGCTGAAAATCGGTTGAATTGGGGATCCTGAGAAATCAAATATTGAATTTATGACTCTTTAAAATATCTATTTATCAGGATCTATTTAACCAATTTCGCTGAAATTCTGCATTTTGCCATGTACTATAATCTAATAAATTATGCAAAAAACTTCAAAAGAATGTAAAAAATTGTATATCTTAACCAGTACCAGTTGTATACCAGTTCAAAATTTTTTTGACAATTATTAAATAAAATGATAAAAAAATATTGAATATTTAGTAATATTTAATTTTTCCGTGGAATTATCTTTGAACTAGATATCCTAGAGATATAGCGAAATACGCAAAAGTAAAAATACGTCATTTAGGGGTCTAAACTTTGAATCGCTGTCCTGGCCAAACTATGGGGACCATATTTCCCAGATTGTGGCTACCCCCTATATTGTGGGGGGTCAGAAATCCAAATCTGCTGAAAAAAGGTACGTTAAACGGTTTTCGCGTTGATTGAGAAACTTTAAATATCATCTGCACTTATTAATTATAATTAGCATATTTGAAGTCACTCCCTCGTACCATTAGGATTGAATCCTAGAACTTGAATATCCGATCATTCGATCAAAAATTACGTGGAGTAATCTTTTTTTTTTGCGCACTGTACAAGAACTATAATATACGAGCGAATTTTTCAGAAAGCAATTTTTGTTTTTATACTTAGGATTTTTTTTTAATGCTTAATAGAGTAAAACTCTGTATAATATGGCTGTCCATAATATTCCAAGAATATGATGTAATACGTTTTCAAACCACTGAAGATGGTTTGAAAACGAACTATGAACTTTGAAACTATGAACATATATGAGAATATATGGGAAGCTTTAAAATTAAATTTTAAAAAAGTTGATTATTAATTATTGTGAGCAAGAAATTAAATACGGTTTTTCTAACGAAAGTGCTATGCAATAGCTAAAATATACGAGCGTAATTCCCTTTTTTTTATGATATTTCAGAATTTTATGTTTAAATAAACGCTACATGGAAGGAGCATAATTGGCTTACATTAGGCTTTATTGCCCTTAAATAATATGTTTAAATAATCTGCATTGACAGCAGTTTAAATTTTTCAGGAATATATAATGCAAATGCAATAATTTGAAATTTCTAAGATTCTAATAGATTATGAGAAAAAGCTAACTAAAAAAAACATATAAAAAAGCAACTTGATGGAAAAATTAATTTAATAAAACGAATTGTTTTAATAATTCCAGTTTAAGAAACTATTATATCTATTTATTTAGAAAGCTTACTACTGCAAAAATATGTCGTGTAACTTAGTTTATTAAACCCTAACAATTAAAAATGTGCATGAACTTTTCATTACATTTTTCACTTATGGTTATTTTGGCATGAACTGATCTTTTTTTTTTTATTTTAGTTAATTTCATTTTATTTTTGTTTTATTTTTACTCTTGCTTTATATCTCAATTTGTAAAAGAATAAAGTGGATAATAGTTATTAATTTAACAAGCTAGCTACCTGTAATATGTGACTTAACTCGGTTTTGAAAATGTGTGGCTCATTCCCATATGGAAATTTTACAAAATGTTCTTACTTTGCCTATTGGTGACAGTTAGATGACAGCCATGACAGTGTTACTATTCTTACAATTATATGTACGATATATATATATATATATATATATATACAGGGTGCGTA